TTGATAACGAGTGGTCAACATCGTATACGAATGAGTAGAAAGGAAAATGAAGTCATAAGTTTCAATGGAATCAAATCGCATGACGAGGAATCAAGAAGGGAAGTGCTCCTAACATCCCTGTAGTCTCTCGAAGATAAGCACAGACGTCTCTATACCGATCCACAAGACTCTACTAGACTCGCTCATCACTCATGAAACCCAAGTGAACCTAGAGCTTTGATATCAGGCTATCACGACCGAATTACCACTATAGGTCGTGATGGTGCCCAATATCGTCGTTAGGCAAGCTAACGGTGAACTATTAACTAAATTATTCATTTTTTATTTTTGAAATCGTGAATTTTATTAGATAAAGGAAATTAACACATAAAATCATGGAAACTTACTATTTAAATAGAATATATAATAAAAGTGTGTAAATAGTAAGCAAAACCACAAACAAATTCTAGAACATCCCAAAATCTGGAGTCACAAGTGCATAAGCATCTACTAAAGAGTACAATAATAATACAATATCTGTCCGAAATATAAAATAGGTAGGATAAAGTAAATAAATAAGATGGAGAATCTGTGGGCTGCGGTGCGTAGCATAGAAAGAAGCTCACCATAAAGTCCCCTCAGCAATTGGACCTATGCATCAAGATGGCCATCAAGGATCCTGCATAATAAGTGCAGAAGTGTAGCACGAGTACGTAAATCAATGCATACCCAGTAAGTATCTAGCTTAACCCCGGAGAAATAGTAACGAGGGGTCGACATTGACACTTACTAATGGTGCAATAAATAGAGTATAAGAATCATAGGCATGCATGAAATATAGCAAGATCAATAGGGCAAGGAACAATATGACAAAATCCGTTAGCAAAATTTCATCATTTTAAAATCCCCAGGGGCCACGTGCTATCTCATCACTATAAAAACCATCAATTTAATATCCGCTCTCAAGCAATAGAATATCATGAAAATTTCAAATTCTATCAAGAGGCTAATCTCGTGGATATTCAGACTCTTAACAATTTTTACGCACGAATTATGTCGAGGTCGTTCGGCCTAATCCATATAATCGTGTATATACACTATCGCGGTCGTAGGTTCTGATCCATGGATGCATCCCATAATATATATATCGGTGAGGCGTTGAACTCTTCGGATTTGCAAATTACGTATTTACAACTTCAAGGTAAGCCCATAAAAGAATATAAATTCCCATCAGTGATTAGTACCCCGCCAAATCTCTAGACAATGAGGCTCGATTTAACATACTCTCTATCCAAATTCTTACTTATTAATTCAGGCTATTTAAACTAGAAAATTGAGTTCAAACAGTGCAAGTAATAGCATAATAAAGGCCGACGTCTACCTAGACATAACATGAATCTAGCTAAATATAAACTCTCGTCACCTCATGCAAATGTAGCCTCCACAACTAGTAGCACATAACAATCAAATACCTAGGGGATGATTTCCCTCTCACAAAGTTATGCAGGAGACTTACCTTGCTCAGAAGTTCCATAACCGGCTCCAACGCCTCTCTAACACCTCAAATCAATGCCCACCGATCCGAAACTTGTCAAGCAATCATGCAAACCAATAAAAATATACTCCAATGCTTATAATTAATAAATTTATAACAATTCTCAACTCCGCTCGAACAGTCAATAAGTCAACCCCCGGGCCCATGTGCCCGGATTTCAAAATTTTTTGAAGATAATCATTACCTATAACACCACGAACTCAAATATATAATTTATCCCTAATTCCACGTCCAATATCGTGGTGAAAAACCAAAAATATAAAATTTTAGGTTTTTCACCAAAATCTCACAATTTCCATAACTTTTCGTGTTTAAGCCCATATACAAACCATGTATTTACTTGCAACAAGTGGGAATCACTTACTTCCAGTTAGATGATGAAAATGGCACTCCAAAGTCGCCCCAAATCCGTGCTCCATAGCTCAAAAATATGAATGAAATACTCAACCCTCAAATAAATAGGGTCTGCATAGCAATCATCGCAATGCGGTCAAATGACTGTATCTACGATCCCTAAGTGCGGGACTGAGGATCGCATCTGCGAACACCCTCCGCCTCCAACACTTTCGCTTCTACGAACACAGACCGCTTCTGCACCTTCATCCCAGGCCCTTTTCCGCTTCTGTGGAAAACACCTCACACCTGCGGAAGCCCACCTTCTCTTGAGCCTCCGCATATGCAGAAGACCATCCTCTTCACCTTTCACTTCTGTGCTCCACTGTCTGCATCTGTGAGCTCGCAGGTGTGGTAAATTCCTTGCACTTGCGAATCCAGCCAGACTTAATCACAACTGCTTCTGCGAACCCTGGGTCGCTTCTGCGGTCTCGCACCTGTGGCCAAAACCTCGGAGGTGCAAACACATCAGAATCCTTAAGCTTCAGAAATTCTTTAAGTCCAAAACTCGATCCGATTCCAATCTTATTTGCACCCGAGGCCCCTGGGACCCCATCCAACCATACTAACGCATCCTAAAACATGATATGAACTTAGTCAAAACCTCAAATCATGACAAACAACATCAAAACTATGAATTGAGGGTCAAAATCTTTCTTTCAACTTTCAAACTTTCAAACTTCATCGAACGCATCCGAATTACAGTTAAACAACTTGTAATGACGCTAAACTTTACATGCAAGACACAAATCACGATATGAACCTTTTTCAAGGCTTGGACTCCCGAACGGATATCGACAACACTAAAGTCTCCTTCAAGTCAAACTTAGGAATTTCTAAAACCTTCAACATACCAACTTCCCACAATAAGCGCTGAAATACTCCTGGACCACCCGATACTCAACCCAAACAGGGGTTGTTTACTAAAAAGTAAAATATTTTTTAATTTTTCCAACTTAAAGCTTCCTAATTGAGAATTTTCCATCTGAATCAACTTTGAACTTCCCGAAATTTAATTCCGACTATGCGTACAAGTCATAAAACATGAAGTGAAGCTACTCAAAGTCTCAAACTGCCTAACGACGTACTAGTGCTCAAAACGACCGGTCAGGTCATTACAATCATAAATTAGGGCTTCAATCAATAAAAAAAGTCTTGACTTTTAAATTTAATACATTTCAGTTCCTTTTTAAGACTTTTGAGTAATTACAAGCTGACTTTTGAGAATTTGGGTATTATATGAAGGACTTATTCAACAAATTTTATTTTAATTTGAAAAAGTCTCAAAGACTTACGTCTCACGCCTCAAACGCTCGAGCATATGCTCGGATTGATGGGTGTACCTCTCCTGAGACTTTCATGTTACACCAACACCTCAGGGCATTTTTGATGCATCTCGCCCCAAGGCTCGCCCCGAAAACGTCTTTTAAAACCCTGGTCTTACCATATCCAAAAATTTCAAGCCATGGCCACCAAATTTCCTCAATATTAACGTTCTTTTGACTTTTAATCGAGTGGAGTTTGCTTACGTTATAACTAATCTTCATTATGTTGCATTATTTGTTTCCAATTTCAGCACTCACCATTTGCACACTTGCATTATTACTAATGTTTCATATGCATATGCAACGTGCTTCTTAGTTTGTTATCTTATTTGGATATTTATCATTAACTTAGTTGTTGTTTTTTTAAAAACGGGTTAAACAAATATAGCTGGTGAAAGTATATTAACTAGTGAACTTCAATTCTTTCTTCTCAATCTCTTAATTAATCATAAGCTAATAGTTCTAGACGAAGTACTTTATGTTCGGTTAAGTGCACTAATAGCCACTTTAGTTTTAGGATTGGGGTTTAAAATATAGCAAGCATTTTCAATGAATATAGTAGCCTGTTTGGCCAAGCATGGTCAAAGCCAAAAACACTTCTTCTTTTTTCCAGAAAAAGTGCGGTTTTTTCAAATTTGAAGTGTTTGGCAAGCTTTTAAAAGAAAAAATATACATATTTTTTAGTAGAAGCAGAAATAATTTTTCTCTAAAAGCACTTTTGTGAAAAATACACTTAGAAGCACTTTTGAGAAAAATACACTTAAAAGCACTTTTAAAAGCTTGGTCAACAGTAATTGCTGCTCAAAAATATTTTTCAAGTTAATTAACCAAACACAAACTGTTTTTCATCAAAAGTACTTTTCAAATTAATTAACCAAGCACAAATTGTTTTTCACCAAAAGTAGTTTTGAAAAAAAAATATTTCTTAAAATAAGCTGATAATGAAGCTCGGCCAAACAGGCTATACGACAACCATAACTTGAAAAGAGTAACGACCAAGTGTCATTCATACTAAAACTCATGCAACCTAGAAATTTATTACCCACTAAAATTGATTGTAATGGCTTGAAATAAATAAAATGTGGTACTAAAGTCAAGAAGTGTAGTTTGAAGTAGAGCTGTTTAAAAGTATAAAAGGGAAATTAAAGGGAAGTAGAAACTTCCAATTAAGTATAGAAAGATGACGCTAGTAATAAAGTAATTGACGTCATTTATTAGTTCATTTCAATGATCAAATTTGTTGAGATAATTTATATACATTGTTTTGTATACCATATATTACATTGTATTTATTCTTTCATTTCTTTTATTTCCCTCAGTTGTACAGTGCTTATATCAGATATTAGTAAAGGTGTTAATTGGTATTAGCTATTAGTTTAGACACTATAAATAGGATATTAATTGTATATTATCATTTGAGTTGTAAATAATAAAAATCAGCTCCCCTTTCTAGAAACTTTATTTGTGCTCTCTCTCTTTTGCATGATCTGTTTTTTTCTGCCATTAGAGCTCACACTGAGCTCATGTCTCTTTTCCTCGATTACCTATGAATTTCACATGGTATCAGAGCCCAGGCAATAGCCTTAGAGTCTCGCCGTCTTATATTTTTTGTTCTTCTACTCATACAATCAGAAATTGATTTTTTGTTTTTGGGAATTAGGCTTTATGTGTAGAAATCGATCAATTAGTCGACTAATCTTAGTGATTCATCTTAGCTACTAACGATTTCATCTCGGCTGAGCTAAATCATGGCCGGAGAGGACGAAGTCCCGGTGACGGACAAAACAACCCTAGATTCAACAAGTCTGCAGTACATGCATCCATCGGAAAGCGCTGGATCTATGTTAGTTCTGGTAGCCTTTGATGGAACTGGTTATAGATCATGAAGAAGAGGAATCCTCAGAGCACTCTCCGTGAAAAATAAACTAGGGTTCATCACCGAAAAATATAAGAAACCAGATCTTGATTCTGTTAACCTCGACCAATGGGAGCGATGCGATGATATGGTGATTCCGTGGATCTTAAACTCACTATCTAAGGACCTAGCGGACAGCTTGCAATACGTTAATGATGCTAAAGAACTTTGGCAAGAGTTGAAGGACAGGTATGATCAAACTAATGGTGCTAAGTTGTATCAGCTCCAAAAGAAAATAAATGATTTGAAATCAGGGAATTTGGACATTACTGGATATTATACAAAGATGAAGAAACTCTGGGAGGAACTCAACACGATGAACATATATGCTAAATGTGCTTGCAAATGTACATGTGGAGCAAGAGAAAACATGCACAAAGCTGAACAGGATAGAAAGCTGATTCAGTTTCTGATGGGGCTTAACAAGTGTATACTGTGGTGAGAGGAAGTATTTTAATGATGAATCCTCTTCCAATAATAGCCCAAGCTTTCTCCATTCTCATTCAAGAGGAGAAACAAAGGGAAGTCAAACCAAGTAACAATTTTTCAACGAATTCTGCTACCTTGATGCAAGTGGACCTGGAAATAACAACTTCAGAACAAACAATACTCAATAGGGAAACAATAACACAAACAGTGGATAAGGGGAATCAGCTCAATAATAGACCTAGGCTATTCTGTGACTACTACAAGAGGCCAGGACACTCTAAGGAAAAGTGTTACAAGCTTCACGGATTCCCACAAAATTTCAAGTTCAATAAAGGAAGAAGAATTACAGGAAATATATTTGGGTCATCAAGTGAGGGCGCTGCAATGAAAAATGATGGAAATGTCTCTCAGGATCAGGAACAGAGTCGAACTATGCACAGTCTGACCAAAGAACAATATGGACAACTACTCAGCATCCTGGAAAGCTTTCAAGGAGGAGGAGACAAATCCACAAGCACTACCATCAATGAAGGAGCTGTGAACTTTGCAGGTATCTCGGCATGCTCTACTCATTTTGATTCTAATCATCATTTATGTGATAGTTCTAGTCCAAATGCTGACTCTTGGATCCTAGATTCTGGAGTCACAAACCATATGACATATAACAAATCACTGCCAACCAATATCAAAACTTTAGTTTAACCCATATTTAGTCACCTACCAAATGGCTATAAGGTTAAGGTGACACTGATTGGTGATGTAGTTCTAAGTCCTAAATTCAGCCTAAAGAAGGTCCTTTTTGTTCCTAGTTTCAAGTTCAATTTGATATCATTCTATTGTTTGACAGTTCAGCTTGATTGTATTGTTGTATTCACGAAATATGTTTGTATTATTCTATAGGGCCCTTCACTGAAGAGGTCACTAAAGATTGGTAAGGCCAAGACTGGCATGTACTTACATTGTTCAAGCAACTACACTGGTTCAACTTCCCCTAATTCTTCTAATACATCCCATCCATGTCTTAGTAGTAATAAAATGAGGTACATTCTGTAGTCAGCACATCTAGATCATTTTCTTCTTCTTAATTAGCTAACACAAATAAACTAGTTTCTACTATTCATGTTGCATTGACCATGTCTCATAGTTGTGATAGTAGTAGCTCTCTTCCACATTCACATCACTTTGTAAATAGTTCAAGCAATAAAAGTGACTCTTGTTTGTCTAATGTTCCCTATATTACAGAACATTTACTTGATCTTTTGTGGCATAACAGATTAGGATATGTGCCTTTTGTCAAAATGAAAGGGATTTCCTCTATACCTGTTAATTTTGCACCCAAATAGCCTTTTCTTTGTCCCATTTGTCGAATGGCAAGACAAATCAGGCTACCTTTCCCAGAAAGAATAACACTGACCACTAAGGTCTTTGAATTACTACACATTGACTTGTGGGGTCCATATCATATTACAACACATAACAAATATAAATACTTCATCACCCTTGTGGATGATTATTGCAGGTCCACATGGAGTCACTTATAAGCTGTAAGAGCAACGCCCTACATACTATCAAGGTTTTCCCTGCCATGGTAGAAAACTAATTCAACACTAATATCAAGACCATAAGAACTGATAATGGTCTTGAGTTCACTAGCCTTGAAGTCACCTCATTTTTCCAATCAAAGGGCATTATACATCAAAAAACATGTCCATATACACCACAACAAAATGATGTGGTAGAAAGAAAACATAAATACCTGTTAGAAATAGCCAGGGCACTCTTGTATCAGTCAAAATTGCCCATACAGTATTGGGGAGAGTGCATACTGACATATACCTATCTAATAAATAGACTACCCTCTTCATCACTCAAAACCAAATGTCCATTTGAACTGCTATACCTAAAGAAACCAAGTTAGTCTCATCTCAGAAGTTTTGGCTATTTATGCTTTCCTACCACTCTCAAAATACAGAAAGATAAGTTTGAACCAAGATCTACTCCCCATGTTTTTGTGGGATATCTGTGAGCACGTGATTTTTGCCTCGCAAGAACTACTCCAAAAGAAATCACAAATAATTTTTTCTTTGTATGCAATTTTTGAATTATAGTGACATTTCATCTGTGCATGTGCATTTTATTCTAATTAAGGAAAAATACAGAAAAGTAGTAATATAGGTACATGTGCATTTAGGAATTAAGGTTGCATTTTTATAATTAATTAGTCATGGGTTTATATAAAAGGATAATATAAAAAATAATATATTTAGGAAATTATAAACCATAAAGAAAGAAAATCACAAAAAATATGCATATGTGTTTCTTGCCATTGTGTTGATTTTATTTAAATTTTTAATTTGAGTATTAATTAATTATAGGTGTTAAATAATATGTGTGTAATTTTATTTTTACAATTTATTTAGGAATTTTGTTTAATTTTTGTAATTTAAGAAAAAATGGAAAATGGGTAAAGGTAAAGGAAATACGGACTGGGCCAGGAGAAAATCAGGCCCAAAACAAAGCATTTACCCGGCCCAGATCAGTCAACCCAAAAACCATCAAACGACGTAGTATAGGGCAAATACTACGCCGTTTAATGATGCCCGTTAGAATAATTTCAAAAACAAACCATACGACGCCGTATGGTTGAATTTGATCAGGGTCGTTCGTTGTTTTTGATCNTCAACAGAATTGCACACAATGTCAGCACCATGGCCATTTGCGGCATGGGGCATGGATGTCATTGGGCCTATTGAGCCGGCAGCTTCGAACGGTCACAGGTTTATTCTGGTGGCCATCGATTATTTTACTAAGTGGGTTGAAGCCAAAACTTTCAAGTCAGTAACCAAGAAGGCAGTGGTGGATTTTGTCCATTCCCGTATCATTTGTAGATTCGGGATCCCAAAAGTAGTAATCACGGACAATGGTGCTAATCTTAACAGCAATTTGATGAGATAAGTATGTGAACAGTTTAAGATTACACACCGTAATTCCACACCTTATTGTCCCAAGGCAAATGGAGATGTTGAAGCGGCCAACAAGAACATCAAGAAGATACTGAGGAAGATTGTAGAAGGATCCAGGCAATAGCATGAAAAATTACCATTTGCATTGTTGGGTTACTGCACTACCGTTCGGACCTCAGTAGGTGCAACCCCTTATTTGTTGGTATATGGAACTGAAGCAGTAATACCTGCGGAAGTGGAAATTCCATCCCTTCGGATTGTCGCCGAGGCTGAGATTGATGATGATGAGTGGGTCAAAACCCGTTTGGAACAGTTGAGCTTGATTGATGAGAAGAGATTGGCAGCTGTGTGTCATGGCCAGTTATATCAAAGGAAAATGGCAAGAGCCTACAACAAGAGGGTGCACCCCAGAAAATTTGAAGTGGGGCAACAAGTATTGAAACGAATCCTGCCACACCAAGCAGAAGCAAAGGGCAAGTTCGCCCCGAATTGGCAAGGACCATTCATTGTAACCAGAGTATTGTCCAATGGCGCTTTATGTTTAACAGATGTCGAAGGAAAATGTGTCGACATGGCTATCAATTCCGATGCAGTTAAAAGATATTATGTATGATTCCTTTTGATTGTAATTGACATTTGTTTGTGGTTGGCATTTATCGGAGAATGAAATGACGGAGGCAATTCTTTCTTCTATCAAAACACTTTAACCTTTGCTTACCCTTTTGAGCCTTATTTATTCTTTCATATACCTCTTTTGGAGTCAGTAATTAAAATAAAAGGTAAAAAGAAAGAAAAACAATGATAAAGAAAAAAGAAAAATCATAAAGAAAAGAGAAAAACAAAGGAATGGGGAACTACGTTTGACCTGATTCCTCAAAGAAGGATACGTAGGCACCTCACGGCTCGGTCATAGTGTAACAAAAAAAAATATAAGAATCCCCAAGCATGAAAACCGGGGCAGAAGTTGTGTTTATAATTTTGGGAAAGAAAGTTTGATTCCAAGAGTTGTAATGTTTTACCCGTCAAAATTATTCTGAGCTTTTTGATAGCCTTTTCTTTTAACCCCACACAAAAATCCCTATTGATGTCCAAAAAAGACCTCCCGATCAGTATCCGAGAAGTGCCAAGTTCATGCACGTGGAAGTCGGGGACAACACTCTGATCCCGCAGAGCAGAGAAGAGGATCATAAACTGGAAAGGAATTGATAAGCTGAACGAATCCCCAACAAAGAGCGTCAAATCGACAAACGCTCTAATCCCCAACTGAAAAATAAAATAAAATGAGAGAGTCTTATCGGTGAAAACCTTCACAGGCACCATGAGGCGACGGGAGTTGAGAGAAAAGAGAGTCTTATTAGTGAAAACCCCTCGAAGGGCACTATGAGGCGACAAGGCGAGATTGGTGGAAAGGTCCACATTTGACAAAAGTTGAGTATTTATTTATCCCCAGCGAGATGAGGCCATCCGAAAATTGATTGATACAAATAGACTGGGTTGATCAATCTGGAATGCACGACATGATCGTTGAGATTGGTTATATCATTCAGATAAGTTCTTTTCTTTTCTTTTTCCCCAGCTTTTGTTCAGAAAGACTTCTTTTCCTATCTTTAAAATTATAACTCTTTCATTTCTTAGTTTAAAAGATTTTATTTCCCCAGTAGTTTATTTTTGAAAAGGATTTTCAGAGTTTAATGCCAATTGCCAAAATGGTGCAAGACAAAATGCGAAAAGGTCAAGCCAAAGATAAGGCGACAAAACGAAAAGAAGTTTGTCGCAAGACCAAATGATGAATGAGTCTAGATATTTAGAGGCCCAAATTTCCAAGGGAAGTTATGGATCAAATTCCAAGATGATCCTCAGCAGATTTGCGAGATACAGGAACAACTCCGATAGGTTCTCGACCAAGCTCCACAATGGTCAAACGACATGGAGCGGGGAAGGAAGAGAAATGACAACCATCCCCAGCAGGAATATCAGCCCTAGCAATCAATATTATCCCCAGCAAGTTTTATAGCAATGCAAGGAAAGGAAAAGGGAAAAACCATCCTCA